ATTTCATTTGCCAGGAGCCAATGGAAGCAATCTACTCACGTGCATGCATAAGTGTACCTTAGGTAGCTCTGCCTTTTGTCAAGAGTAGGAAAAATACTTACTATAAAAGTTGTTCCTATTTTGTCTTATTTTGTGGGGGTCATGGAATTGCTGTAATTCTACATTTAAAGTGCTCTATCATTCTTTCTATTCTACGCCTCCAATCCTCAACATGGTAATTGTATTTTCAAATATAAAATATAGAGATTGTAATTTGCTTTACGGTTACGATTTGGTGAGTGTATTAAATTCCACGATCTCCGCTGGTACAGAAGATAATCCAAAGTAAAGCGCTGAAAAGTAAGGCAATATCACAAATCCCCCAGTAACCGGACGAGACACAGTTCTGGGAGTCAACTGAGCTTTTATTCACAAGTCACAGTATTTATGCAAGTCCCCATGCAAGGGGTTTCCCTACTGACATTGCAGGGGTTATACAGTAGGGGACTACATGGGGGATTTAACAATCTGGACATTTCTCCCATCAGGCACTGCTGGACGAGAGGGATACTCCCACTGGAATATACCTGTAACGGATCACCTGGCACCCCGACTGGGTACCTCCGTTGAAGGATGCTCCTAGCACTTCCTGAGGACTCCAAGCACTGCAGCAGACACCAAAACCCCCGAACCGTAGGAGCATATGAATGCTCACAAGCATGTGAATGTGGTATACAGCCGAATAGGAAAAACCATGCGAATAGGTTTAGACTCCTAGCAGTCAAACTGGAACAGCATACAATAAATCCTCCCCCAATAATGAGACGACACTTCACTTTGAGGGTTAAAACAGGAACTCATTTGTTCAGATCCATCTGCTGAACTCCGCTGCTCAGGGATCGCCCTGTCCTCATTTTGATATTCTGCCATCACCTCTGCAATGAGGGTTGCTTTTCTTTTGTTGCTTGCTGCAATACCTTTTGCTTCTAGGAGATCTTTTAACGTGGATCTTTTAAGCTTCGCATAATCACTCTCCATCCGTATTCCATTAGTCCTTGTTCACTTGTGAGTATGGATCCCACCGCTGCCACCAATGTAGTGGAGAGCTGGTATTACACAGCCTATCTCCACTTTGGATCCCAGTGAGGCTCAAGCAAGCAATTATAAATCCATAGGGCAAAGTATCCAGCAGGCAAAATAACACAGCAGTATCCCAACAGCACTCCCAATAACTGGACGACACACAGTATCAGGAGCAGAACTAAAGATTTATTCAGACATTGGCCTTATAAAGCATACTCCCATGCAAGGGAGGGATTTTCATTCATTAGTACAGTAGCCAATCCTGTTCTAGTAACCTCCCACACATATCCTCCCCTCAGCCTGCATCATAATCCCCTTATCCAGGACACCAATTCCCCCTGTTTCTGGATGTACCCCTAAACCTAGGGGTACCACTTTAAATTATACATCCCCAGGTAGCCCTGATCTGGGTGAACAACATATCCAAAAATCACCCAGATCAGACCAGGGGTTCGGGAAATTTATGGAGGGAATAAAATGACCGACCGCGCTGGAAAGAGTAGCCGAATTGGGTTCCATGCGATGGGGCCCTGCGGTCGGTCCTGGAACAAGGGAATAGTTTACACGAAAACCTCCAGTTACAGAGACTAGGGAGGGTTCGCCTGAATCCCCTCGTTCGGTTGTTTCTATCTACCGAACGGGGGGCCATTCGGTAGTTTGGAACCGAACGGACCGGGCTTGTGGAGGTCTCAGCGGTGTTCGCCTAGTCGAGTGTCCGATTTGAGTTCCAGACACTCGACGGCAAAACACTGCTGTTCGGAAGTTAAAATGGCCGCCGCCACGTGTTAGTTTCCCGAATGGCGGCCACCCCCGAGAACAAAGGACTGCTACTCAGCTTGTCAATTACCCATTCGCAACAATGTTGCAATGGGTAATTGAAGGCACACTTCACCCTGGGGACGTCTGACTGTTCGGTAGTTTCATTCCCTTAGTTGTTGGAATGATTCTACCGAACAATCAGACGAATACAATACATTTAACACATATAACTTTGCCATTTACACCAATGCAGTCAAAACTTATTTAATTCTCAGGACAGCCCAGTGACATCCGCTACAATACCGTTAAGTGGATTATCCCTTGTAGCGGAGTAGTGGTATTATCCACGGTATCTTCGCTGGTAGACAGGATGAAGCAGGTAAAATGTAGGTAAAATGCAGGTAGCGTAGTTACAATCCTTTTCTCCTAAGAACTAGACGACACATAGCTTGGAGGTTAAAACACTGGCATCTCACCAGGCTGAGACACACTCTTTAATGATTACAGTTTTCTTTGAACACAGCCCTCCGCAGGGGGGTCTGCATTCCACACAATACCCTTCTCTTAGTCCCAGGCAGGAGGGGGTTGGGTTACAGATAGCCACCTCCTGCCTTAGGAGATACCAAGCAGTACACAGGAATACACTTTACATCATATTACATTCATGGGGGGTTACACTTTAAGTGGCTGGTTTGGCCACAGATAGGAATAGCAATGCAGCAATAGCAAGATATATACAAGGACATTCTGTAAGTGGCTAGGTTTGCCACAATGCTCCCCCAGAACCAAGCCGGCATACACAGTCTGATCCCCACGGATCGGCTTGGGGATGTCCGGAGGGGGCTCACAGATCACTTTTCAAAATCAGTCTGTCTGGATAACCCGTCGGCGTTACCGTTTTGTTTTCCGGGGCGATAATGGATTGTAAAGTCAAAAGGCTGCAGCGCCAAACTCCAGCGCAGCAGCCTGGCGTTGTCTCCAGCCACACGGTTTAGCCACACCAACGGGTTGTGATCTGTGAGCAAAGAAAAGGGTTGCCCATAGAGATACAGCTGTAACTTTTTAAGGGCCCACACCACGGCCAGGCATTCTTTTTCTATGGCGGTGTAGCTTACTTCCCGGGGTAACAACTTCCGGCTTAAATAAGCTACAGGATGTTCTCCACCATCGGCTCCAACTTGGCTCAGCACTGCCCCCAATCCAAACATTGAAGCGTCTGTGTGGACAAGAAAGCGTTTAGTTGGATCAGGGGCAGCGAGTACAGGTGCATTAGTCAGAGCCGTCTTAAGTTGGGTGAATGCCTGTTCACACTCTGGGGCCCAGACGACCTGTCGGGGTAGATTCTTATGAGTCAGATCAGTCAAGGGTTTGGCCAGGGTACTGTAATTGGGCACAAATTTTCTGTAGTACCCTGCAGTACCCAGGAAGGCGAGTACTTGGGTCTTGGTCCGAGATTCGGGGGCCACTCTTACATTGGTCGCCCCACATTTGGTTCCCGGCTCAGCCCACACTGGAGGATCCGTAGCCGTACGAGTAGCAGGGGGAGCCGTATACAGATTGCCCACTGCGAAAGTACATTTGAATTGGGGTGTTGGGGAAGGGATGGTCGAGGTGGGCCTGATGCAGAAGCTACCTGCGGATGTTGTACTTGGGAATGATTTGGGCCAGATGACCTCTGCTTTTATACCTCCGGTTCCCCACCAGGAAGCACATCCAGTGACCACCCGGCAGCAGGCTCGCACCACGGTTCCATCAGCACACTCTGAGGCTCAGGTAAGAGACCATGACTCCCCCACGACACGTATGACCTGGGATACCCCAAGTAAATTTGAGGCAGAGGTGAAGTTAGACCCCACCTTGCAGGTTTACCGAGATAGGGTGAGCACCAATCAGGCGGGATTAGAGGGGGAGCGGTATATCTGGGAGAACGGGTCCTCCGTGCAGCAGAACCAACATTTCACATTAAAATATATAACTTTTCCATCATTCACGTTATTTAAATGAATGGACGTTCGGTAGATAGCTGGGGTCTGAGTGCACCTTTCGTGAGAATACCGCTCAGATCCCAGCATAAATAACCGGACGCTGCTCAAAATACAGTTTAACATTATGTTCGCCTGAAAGTACCGAACACCGATGGGGAACCACAACAGTGAAAGACTGAAGCTCACGAACGGCCTGGAAGCCCAGCGGTGTTCGCACCGTCGAGTAGCCAATTTCAGTTCTACGCACTCAATGACCAAACACCGCTGGGGAAACAAAGGATCCAAGATGGCCGCCCGATCCTCTGTGTGTGGGCTCCTGGTTGGGATCTTATTCGTTTCACGAACAGCAGGTAAAGTCCTTGTTCATGAAACGAACACATGAATGCTAGGAAATATGGCTTTGTAACAGCCTAAGCTAATTTATGGTGTACAAGGGTCCTCTTGTCACTGTGCCTATGCATAGTTTTGCTTATAAACTGATGACTTAGAAAATATAGCAATGAGCAGATTAAGAAGCATTTTTTTAAAGGGACACTTATAGGCACCAAGAGCACTTCATCTTGTTTGGGTGATGTTCCCAAGTCCACTTAGCCCTGCAATGTGAAATATTGCCTATTCTATGAAACTGCAAAAATGTTCTTGCAAGATTAACTCCTCCTCTATTGCCTGTCTGACAGCCACTAGAGGCGCTTCAGGGTCCTTAAAATGTAACTATGTGAAATAACACTGGACATCCTTACGCTCTGCATTGGACAACCAGGCTATTTAAAACCCTACAGAAACGCGTTGAGTAAATGCTTTCCGATGGGGAAGCCTAAATGCGTGTTCTGGAAGGACCTGGTGTTGGCGGAGCCTGAACCATCAATCAGGTAACTGACAATAAGGGTGCAGAGTAAAGTATAGTGTTAGCAATACAGTTTGATATTTACAGCACTATAGTTTTCCATTAAACCAAAGAGTCTTTACCCTGTTATAAATTTATATAGCATCCACCCAAAAAAATCTAAAGCGACAAAAAGGAACTCAAATCTGTGTTCAACAAGAGAAACTGAGGTTTGTTTCTTTTTGACTCTGAAATCCACCATCTCATGGCCATTTCATCACCCCCGCTATAGAATTGCACTGATGTCACAGAATGGGACACAGCAAGTGCTTTTTTTTTTTTTTTTAAGAAACACAATCTGCATGTCAAGATTTCTGCAATATACTTTATTTCTTATACGTTAATGTGGAGCTTAGAGTTTACATCTATATTAAAAAACAAAACAAGTAAAATGGGTAACAGAAAAACCTGCCTTGCAAAGACAGACTGTGGTAACCACAGAACATGGAGAAAGTTTAAGCACCTGTAAAATAAAAGCTGTATGGCATGAGGAAAGCAATATCGGTATAATGTCATGATCTCTCTCGTGGTGGCCCACCAATTCTTAATCACAGGAAAATGAAGGTTACGTCATATCTGCAGCATGTGTTATGAAGCAGCCAAGTGTAGAGGAAGTTTTCTGTTTCAGCAGGTTGATCATGGTGGCCTATCTGGCACTGGAACCAAACATGGTACCCTTCATCTCCCTCAAGACGGTGCTCAGAGTTGTCAATCATGAAAAAAAAAAAATTATGGTTAGATTGAATAACTGTAAGCACGAGAGAGAGAGGCAAGTACACGAAAAGTATTGTAAAAGTAAGAGGGAATACATATTAGAAAGGCAAAGGAGGAGATTAACAGTGAAGTCTATGAAATCATGAAAATTAGCAACTTTAGGTTCAATACTCTACCTTCTTCATGAGTAGCAAACATGGACCCCTTCATCTTCCTCGTATCCCACAGGAGACGGTGCTCAGAGTTGTCAAAAACAAAAACAAATTATGGTTAGAGTGAATAACTCACATTGCTTGAATTGGCACATGGATACACATGTGAGCAGTAACGCCACGTCAAGGCTTCAACCCTTGTTACTGACCATTCACACACACCATACTTTTCATTCATACGCATTTGGTATTCCAGATGTTTTGGACTACACCTCCCATAATGGTTTGCCAGCATTATGGGAGATGTAATTCACAGCATCTGGACTGCCCAAGGTTACCTACCTCTGAACTATGCCGTGATCACAGTACACAATGTTGAAGGTGCTGTGCAAACAGGAGCAGCTTGTCATGTGTCAGATGCCACTTCATTACTTATAAATTCAATACTCCACCCTGGAGACGAGCATCAAACATGGGCTTCTTCATTCCTCTTCATGTACTTCGGGTCCCGTAGGAGAACATGCTTGTCAGAGCTGTGACACACACAAAAATAAATAAACTGGTTAGAGTAACTGGCATAACAGACACAGTGCATGCAGACTTGCGTGCCACATACATACAGCAGACAGACACAAAGATTGTGGGAGACACACTGGATTAAATATAAGAATTGGGAGTACCATACATACACAATGCACAAAGAGACGGAGATTACTGAATTTGGTGACCGACGGATTTGGTTGCAGATGTGGGGCAGTCCCTCTCGCTGGGGTGGGGGTGCAGTTTCTCATCCTTCTCTGGCGAGTGACTAGATGGCTGCGGTTTCATAGCAAAAAGCATGCCATGGCATTTGATATCTAGGAAATAAATATTTTTCTGTGAAACTAGGGTTGTACACATCTAACACACAGGCCACAAGTACTGTACAGCTCCCCATATAACGCACAGCCCCCAAATATAATACACTGCCCCCTCACATGTAACGAACAGCCCCTCCATCTAACACACAGGCCACCCCAATATACTTCACAGACCCCCAATATACTGCGCAGACCCCCCATTATACTTCGCAGACCCCCCCAATATACTGCACAGACAGCCCTGCATATACTGCACAGACAGCCTCCCATATACTGCGCAGACCCCCCCATATACAGCGCGCGCAGACCCCTCAATATACTGCGCAGATCCCCCATATACAGCGCAGACCCCCCTAATATACTGCACAGGCAGCCCCTCATATACTGCACAGACAGCCCCCCTATACTGTACAGACCCCCCATATACAGCCTTGAACCCCTCAATATACTGCGCCCAGATCCCCCATATACAGCGCAGACCCCTAATATACTGCACAGGCAGCCCCTCATATACTGCACAGACAGCCCCCCCATATACTGCGCAGACAGCCCCCATATACTGCGCAGACAGCCTATATTTTTACAGTATGTGATTGGTTAACCTTTGTCCCTCCCTGAGGGATGTCCCCTTGCATGGGGATTTGCATAAAAGCCTGTGTGCACCCATTAAAAGTTAGTTCAGTTGTACCCTTCTTCTTGACTTCGGCTGATGTTTGGGGATTTGTGTGTTTCACTAAGGGAATCATCTTGTGAAGCAATTGGGATTACTATATGGTTCGTCTCCTTTATGTACCATAGCTATACTCACTAATGCTCTGGCGGTTTGGGAGGAAACTACCGAATGAGGTTTAAATACACTTGGTTTCCTTACAACTGGTGGCAAGCGGAGGGATTCGAATTCCGAATGGACGCCCTGAACCAAGCAAGGGAATGAATGGCTCAGCAATACCAGCTACTTAAGAGAACCACGCTGAAGGATTTACTGGAAGCTCGAGGCGTAGTGGCAAGTAACAAGACAAAAACCACATTAATTGCAGAATTAATACAGAGCGATGGAACCAGCAATACAGAAATGGAGCATGAGGAAGAAACTTAGATGCAGAAAGATATCAAATGGATGCTCAGTGTATTGGGACCCAATCCATCAACAGAAGCGGTTCTGCAGGTCATGGCACAAGCCAGACAATCACAAAAAGAGTGAGAGGACCGAGACAGACCGCTACAGCAGGGGGATTTGCTACACTCCCCGGTAAGTGCCAATGATCTTCCAAAGAAGGTAAATTATGCAGCATTTAAAAGTTTTAATGATGATTACAAGACATTGAACGTCAATGTGCGCTGGAGGGATTAGACTCCACAAAATGGGCTGCAGTACTGAGCAGCAAACTATCAGGAAGAGCAGCAGAGGCGTTGAGGGCGGTACTGGATGGGGACATGCATAATTATGAGAAAATAAAAGGATAGATACGCTTTAACCCCAGAGGCATACCGGAAAAAGTTTCGGGAACTTCGAGAGACAGGGAGAGATTCCCACACTGAATGGGCTTTTCCGCTACACAGGTCAGCCCGTAATTGGATGCAGGGCTGTCAAGCAACTACCCTGGAAGATGCCTTACAACTTATGCTGCTAGAACAATTTTTTAATTACACTGCAGAGGATATCAAAGATTGGGTAAAGGACAGAAAACCCCAAACTGTGGAGGAAGCTGCCAGACTAGCGGATGAATATCAAGACAACAGGAGGAGGGGACAGGGGGGAAGCAGACCCACGTTTAGGCCCAACTACCCGGCGCCAGCACCCCCTGCCGTCCCTAGAACCGCCATAAGTAACCCACCACAAGGTCCAGCAGTAACGCCTCGACCCCCTGCAGTGTGTCATTACTGTAAACAGCCAGGACATTACAAGAACCAGTGTCCTCGCTTAAACAGAGGAAGCTGAGAAAGGCAACCACCACAACATCCCAGGTCAGCCACCCATTGTGTACAGCCGGAAAGCACACCTAACCAAGAAAAACAGTGGAGTGTGTTGCATGAGGTCAATCCAGTGCAAGCTGGGGGAGACAACCGGGACCACCACCGCCAATGGATTACAGTGAATGGCGTGGGGGCGCGAGCGTGAGGGACTCTGGAGCCACTCTAACAGTAGTACAACCCCACATGATCGCACCGTAGCCGTAAGGGTGGCTGGGGGTGCTATACACAAGCTACCTACAGCCAACGTACTGGTCGATTGGGGTTCTGGGTCCAAACAGTTGGAGGTTGGCATTATGCAGGAACTGCCAGCTGAGGTCCTGTTGGGAAATGACGTTGGCTGTTTAACCTCTCAACTAACCCGGGACACTACAGTGGAAGCCTACGCCGTTACCACCCGAGCCCAAGCCCGACTGGAAGCACCGCTGCACTCTGAGGACAACCAGGTAGGAGTTGACATCCCCCCTTTGCCAGATCCCCCTACCACCATCTGGGATACACCACAGGGGTTTGAACAAGAGCAGCGGACAGACCCCACTGTAGAAGGGTATAGAAAGGCCGTAGAGATACCTAAGGGGGATAACCCCCACGAAAAGTTTGAATGGTATAAGGGATTGTTGTACCGAGTGACTGAAGGGGTGGGACGCGGGGCCACGCAGGTCACTAAAAGACAACTGGTAATACCCCGTAAATTTCGAGCCGAGTTATTAAAACTCAGTCCTGATATTCCCCTAGCGGGACATCTAGGGGTCAAAAAGACGAGGGCCCGATTGACCCAAACATTCTTCTGGCCTAGGATTACGCAAGATCTGAAGTATTATTGTAGGACATGTGACATATGTCAAAGACTAGGGAAGAGAGGTAATCACCACAAAGCCAAACTTCACACTTTACCGATTATAGAAGAACCCTTCCACCGAGTAGCAGTGGACCTAATAGGACCTCTCAGCCGACCCAGTCAGTCTGGCAAGAGATTCTTTCTAACTGTAGTGGACTACGCCACTAGATACCCGGAAGCGGTAGCCCTCACCAATATAGAGGCCGAGACCGTGGCCGAGGTCCTAGTTAAAATATTCTCCCGGGTAGGTTTTCCGCAGGAGATCTTGTCCGATTGAGGGACTCAGTTCACAGCTCTCCTTACCCAGCAACTATGGCAGAGCTGCGGAGTGAAAGTCCTATTCAGCGCCCCCTACCATCCCCAGACCAATGGACTCTGAACGGTTTAATGTCACACTTAAACTGATCCCGAAAACCTTTGCAGAGTCCTGCAGGAATTGGGAAAAGTATCTTCCCCATCTTCTGTTTGCCTACCGCGAAGTATCTCTCTAACCCCCCCTCCTCCAATGGTGGTTTCTCTCTGGTGGTCTCTCCCCCCCACCACCTTGGTGGTCTCTCTCAAACCCCCCCTCCAATGGTGGTTTCTCTCTGGTGGTCTCTCTCTCTCCACCACTGCCCTGGTGGTCTCTCACTTTCCACTCCCCCGTGCCGCCAGGCCACGTTATCCTGAGTGACTGCGTTGTGCCGGATCACTCATATCTTAAGGATGCACCAGCCCAAGCTGTGTCTCCTGAAGGCGGCTGCAGCATGAGGGGTGACGCGCTCACATCGCAGGGCGCCCCCTTTAAGGATGCATCATAGGAGCCATGTTTTTAGAAGTCACAAATGAATATAACTTGATTCTGTATGAAGTCTTATTTTCCTTTGACATCAGTAATAACGAAATAACATAAATGGCACTTGGCAAATAAAAGTTCTTAATAAGGTACAAATGAAATCATAGAGAACAGACTTTATATTCCCTTTCCTTCTGAAATAACATTTAGGGAAGAACCTGTTATTAATCCCAGTAACTGGTGAACTTATCTTTGCATCCTTGGATGATGAGCATTGAAGTCCTTTCCAAGATAGTGAGGATTATGGTTCCCTGTAGTATGTAGAGAAGGTAGGAATCCAATGTCGTCTGTATCCAGTCAGGGAGAGTTGAGTAAAACATAGTCAGGATCAAGCCGGAGGGCTCAGTACACAGGAAATCAAATAGTGGAGCTCCTTTCAAGCGACAAAAAAGTAACAAGAATGCTAGAGACATAAACCAAACAAAATTGATTGAGCACCTGAGATCAGGAGCAGCTTCCTTTTAACTCAGGAATGGATGACATCACAAGCATAGGTGGGGTCTGATCGCTAAATGCTGGTCTGGCTGGAATTCCCAAACAACATGGGGGAGTCCTGACACTAGTCGCCTATAGGAAGCGCTGGCCCTGAGTTTACTAAAAAAGACACAATAAATATAAAGTGGATACAGTAGATATTGAAAAGAAAACCAGTATATTCATGGCTTGAACTATCGTGCTTTGCATGTAATGCGTCTATCTCATATATTAGTTTCCCCTTTTATGTTGCATTACTGAAATAAATGTACTTTTGCACAATATTCTAATTTTTTTGAGTATCACCTGTAATAGTTCTGGGTATTCTGTGTTTCTCTTTCCTGCCACTAGATGTCCCTCCTAGTCTCTATATATGTGCATATTTAGGCACTATCTCTAGCTCTATGCTACTAGGACAATAATTTTAGCTTATTGAATTTGTTCTGGTGAGTAGAATCATTACCGTCAGGCTTTTTGCTGTAAACACTGTGTTTTCAGAGAAAATGCAGTGTTTACATTACAGCCTAGTGATAACTTCACTGGCCACTCCTCAGATGGCTGTTAGAGATCCTTCCTGGGTCATGGCTGCCTAAAATGCATCCAAACATTCAGTATCTCCTCCCTCTGCATGCAGACACTGAACTTTCCTCATAGAGATTCATTGATTCAATTCATCTCTATGAGGAGATGCTGATTGGCCAGGGCTGTGTTTGAATCATGCTGGCTCTGCCTGATCTGCCTCCTTGTCAGTCTCAGCCAATCCTATGGGGAAGCACTGTGACTGGATCAGGCTACCACTTCTGATGATGTCAGCAGACTGCTTGTTTTTCTGAGTCTTACAGCATGCAGAGTTACAGCTTCAGGCTTGAATACAGTAAGATTTCTATATTTCGGGAGGCATGAGAGGTCCATGGGGGCTAGATGATGGTTTTAACACTATAGGGTCAGGAATACATGTTTGTGTTCCTGACCCTATAGTGCTCCTTTAAGACTGTCCTCTTGTTGTGGTAGTTTTTCTTCTTTTAAATATAGTCTCCTCGTTTACTGTGTTGATTCCCTTTATGTATTTAAATGTTTCTATCATATCCCCTCCCCCCCCAGTTTAGTAGCCCTTCTCTGAACTCTCTATAAAGTATCAATATCCTTCTGGAGATATGGTCTCCAGTACTGCGTACAATACTCCAAGTGAGGTCTCAACAACGCTCTGTACAATGGTTTGAGCACTTCCCTCTTTCTACTGCTAATACCTCTCCCTATACAACCAAGCATTCTGCTAGCATTTCCTGCTGCTGTAGTACATTGTCTGCCTACCTATAAGTCATCAGAAATAATCACCCATAACAACCTTTCCCCATATGTTGAGGTTAGGACTCTATCAAATATTCTGTACTCTGCCCTTGGGTTTTTACGTCCAAGATGCATTATCTTGCACTTATACACATTAAATGTCAGTTGCCACAATTCTGACCATTTTTCTAGTTTACCTAAACCATTTGCCATTTGGCTTATCCCTCCTGCAACATCAACCTTATGTACACATCATTCTGTTTTTCTAGGTTTACTTTCATAAGTTCTGGCTTTCTGCTCCATTCCAGTCCTCATGGAAACCTACTTTTTTGTTAACACACTCGTCACTGTTTGCACGGTTTCCCAGTTGCCATGGCAACTGACCCAGCACTCCTATTTGCCTTGAAATCCATCCAGAGTGCTCTGTGTCATTTTACACAGCGTGGGAAACTCCAAAGAACTTCCCCACACTGTGTAAATGACACAGAGTACTCTGATTGGCTTAAACCAACCAATCAGAGTCTTCTTAGCCTAATTGCAGGGTGGGACATGGCTTTATAAGCCTTTCCCCACCCTGCGGAGCTCAGTCTGCACCGTGCCCTCGCCGGGTGAAGATGGATTCATTTTTTTAGCATCAGGTTTTTTCTTTTTCGTCTGTTTTTTTATTTTTTTTTTATTTTTTACAGGTTAGTTATTTTATCCTCCCCTCACTATTTTTAGGGTGAGGAGGGTAGGTAGAGGATCATTTCTTATTTGGGTGGAAGCCACTCAGGGGTGGAAGCCAGGAGGGAGAACAATAGGTCCCCTTCTCTTATGGTTATTTAGGGCCCCCACCCACCACGCAGGGGTGGGGCCGGAGGGAGGACAATAGGTTCCCCCTCATTGTTATTTAGGGCCCCCACCCACAGCGCAAGGGTGGGGGGTGGGGGAGGACAGTAGGTCCCCCCTGTAGCGGAGAGCTGCTCTTACACAGCTTATCTCCACTTTAGATCCCAGTAAGGCTCAGGAACAAGTATTATAAATCCAGAAGGTAATATTTCCAGCAGGCAAAACACTCCAACAATATCCCAACCTCAATCCCAATGACTGGACGACACACAGCATCAGTAGCAGAACTCCGCTTTTAATCACATGGTTTCCTTATAAAGGTTTCTCCCATGCAAGGGAGGGATTTACAATAATTGGGACAGTAGCCAATGGTACAGTAGTTACCTCCCATACATATCCTCCCCTCAGTGTGACACTTAATCCACTTATGTTCCAGTTTTACCCAGTTTCTGGATGTACCCCAAAACTGTGGTCTAAGTGGCAGCCCTGACCTAGGAAGCTAACATACTCAAAATTCACCCAGATCGGACCAGGGGTTCGGGAGTTATGGGGAATAAACAATTTGACCGACCACACACGAGGAGGTAGCCGAAAAGGGTACCATGTGTTTTGGCCCTGCGGCCGGTCTCCGTTCGGGAGGTAAAACATCCATAAATCTTTGCCATCCACTATTAACAACGCATTTGTATGAATCCCCTTGTTCGGTACGTTGAACTCACCGAACAAGGGGCTAATTGGCCCCTCCATTTGGGAATTACGGAGTTCTGGAGGTCTCAGCGGTGTTCGGGTAATTGAGTGTCCGATTTGAGTTCCAGACACTTGACGACCAAACACCGCTGAGAGTTCGTGCGTAAGATGGCCGCCGCCACGTGTTCGCTTACTGAATGGCGGCCACCCAGATATAGCAATAAAGTACCGATTGACTGCGGTTAGAGAAGTGTGAAAGCCTAATGAGGTACACACTTCTCTCTGGGGTGGTCTATTGATTCTGTCGTTTTCATTCGTATGAAATACGGATGAAAACTACCAAACAAACATACGAATTCTACATACAATTTTAATTATACAGGAAAACAAAAACACACGAATTGTCTTTTAAGCATAATTTTGGAGGACAGTCCAGTGCCATACGCTACACTGCTCCCCCTTGCCCACAAGCCGGCATACACAATCTGATCCAACACGGATCGGCTTGGGGATGTCCGGGTGGCTCACAGATCATTTTTCAAGGTCAGTTTGTCTGGACAACCCGTCAGCGTTGCCATTCTGTTTTCCCGGGCGGTACTGGATGTTAAAGTCAAACGGCTGCAGCGCCAAACTAAACTGCCGGGCATTGTCCCCTGCCACCCGGTTTAACCATACCAACGGGTTGTGATCCGTGAGCAGTGAAAAGGACTGTCCATACAAATAGGGTTGCAATTTCTTTAAGGCCCACACCACAGCCAGGCACTCCTTCTCGATGGCGGCTTAGCTCACTTCTCTAGGTAATAGTTTCCGACTGATGTAGGCTACGGGATGTTCTCCGCCATCGGCCCCGACTTGGCTTAATACTGCCCCCAATCCAAACATAGAAGCGTCTGTGTGAACAAGAAAACATTTAGTTGGATTGGGAGCTGCCAAGACAGGGGCATTGCTAAGTGCATTTTTCAGATGTTGGAATGCCTACTCACACTCCGGGTCCAGGTTACTTGGCCGGGAAGGTTTTTGCGGGTAAGGTCATTAAGGGGTTTGGCCAGGGCGCTATAGTTGGGTACAAACTTCCTGTAATACCCGGCGGTCCCTAGAAACGCCAGGACTTGGGTTTTTGTCCTAGGGGTTGGCCATTGCGCTACGGCCTCTACTTTTGCGGGTTCAGGCCTCTGCTTCCCGCAACCTACTCTGTGTCCGAGGTACTGTACCTCAGCCATACCTATATTGTATTTAGCTGGTTTCAAGGTTAATCAGGCTTCTCGGATTCTATCTAACACCGCTCCAATGTGGGCCAGATGTTCCTGCCAGGTATTGCTAAAGATAGCAATGTCATCTAAATAAGCACAGGTGTAATCCTGAAACCCATCTAGGAGCCGGTCTACCATCCTCTGGAAGGTGGCTGGTGCGT